TCCCCTCTCCCTCCCTCGCGCGCCCCCTCTCCCGTTACTCGCCCCCCCCACCGGCGCGCGTGCGCAGTCCGCCTCCCGTCGGGAGAGTGCGCCACAAGGGCTCCTGTGCGCTCACCCCCATCTCCGGGCTTTGCCTCCCCCCTTCTCGCCCATTCCATGACTTTCTGCCCCCGCTGCGAGCGGTAGTCAGAGCTGGTCAGTGGGGGTGATTGCCGCCGCCACCCCAACCCGAAAGGAACAGACATTGTGTGCCTGGGTCCCGCTGCTCAATCTATAGAGCTGGTTCTGCTCCCATCAGTACCTGAGGGCAGGGGGACAGTGCATCTGCGGGCACCTGAGGCTCGGGGGCGAGAGCGTGCCCCCTGGTGCGCAGAGGTTCTTGGGGGTGCCTTGCCTTTGGAATCCGAGCGCCCTCTCACACCGCCTCCCCCCCTCCGGCGATCTTCCAGTTACATAAGTGGAGTGGGACATAGTATGTGACTGCTTTCATCGTCCTAGAGCGCTGAGGATTACTGGGACCACAAGAGGATCAGAAGGGGCAAGCTCGTGGCATCGCTCTGACTCCTGTCAATTATTCCTGAAAGTTTATTCTCTTTTCACTTTGGTTATGACTGAATCACCCAAACCGAAACTCAGGTGACTTTTACGGAGCCGTGGTAATGTTTCTGTGGCTTTGCCCTGAAGACTTAAGGTCATTGTCAAGAGTCTGAGAAGGTCGCTCTCACCAGGGAGACCCTTTGCGGCCTTGCTGGGAATACCTCTGTGCAGTGGCTTCTGGTGTTCGCGCTTGGGTGTGGGTTGGTCACGGCAGAAATGGACCCTACCACAAAATTGATATTCCTGACTCATGGTCAGGCAGATGTGTGCTTCTGGTTATTTTTCCAGGAACACTGATGAGCTCTGCAGAGCCATTTGCACGTTGCCCCCCACTAAAGTCTGACATGACAGGATCAAATTCGGGGGTGCTTGGTGACTGTGGCTCCAAATGTCCTGGTACGTAATGCTCAGTGTCTTGAGATGTGTGACTCTCACAAGTTTTCAGTGTTTTGTTGTACTATAAAAGTAAAGCATATTGGATTTGGGTAGTAAAGTCACACTAATAAGCAATAACTCGACAGGAGAATTTAGAATTTTCATCTGGATCTCAGCAATTTCATTTCATAGCAAGATTAAACAGGTCTCTTGGGTCTTTTGAAATATGCTGGGTCCCTTCTAGACAGGGTCTGGGTTTTTTAGGTCTTTTGGGAATTTCCACCAGGCATAAAGGGAAATGGGCTTAGTTATGGGCTTTTCAGGATTTCTACTTCAAATCCCAGTAAGGAACCCTAGGAAAGTCTTGCTTTTATTTTCTTACCTGGTTATATCAGAACCTTAAAGGGCTCAATCAAACTGGTGGGAGCAAGTTGATTAGAATAAAGTAAGTTGTCATAGTTCTCTCAGTGGCAGGACAACTAGGTGGTTGTCACTGGGGTGCAGTCACGTGTACATTCATGCATACCTCACTAGGCGGGAGTTCCTGGATTTCTACATCTGAGCCAGACACTCGACCCGTGGAGGTCTCTGCTTTGTTTTCAGTTGCACCCCTCCAGGTTCCCCTGAATCAGTGCTCGCAGCTTCCAAAGTACCAGTTCCCCTCACAGTGCCTGTGGCTGATGTCAGTGGCATCTAAAGCCAGTATGTCCCTGCAGCTGGAAGAAACTGTGTATGACTTTCTTGCTGGTACTGGCCTGTCACCCTGTCCTATTTCTTGTTACTAAAATTTTGCCCTGAGTGCTTTACCTTTGGAGTACCAGGTCTTTGTTTCACCTAGTAAAGCACTATGCAGTCATCTCTACTCCACTCTTGTTCACTTTGAACCCTGAAGGAGGTCCAGACAGGGCACAGACCCCAGTGGATTTGGAGGGCTCTGATACAACTTTGCATTCTGTGTTTATGTTTGTAGCATCTAGCCAGAGCTATTCCCCCTGCCTCCCTGTCCCTGTGGGATCTTATCTAATGGGGAAGGGGGCAGGTTGTGGAGTTTGAAGGGAAACCTGGCTCAGTGAGTCTAGTAAGAGTTGTGCCCACCAGAATGTGCCTTCTCCCTTGCGGAGATGGCCCAGGAGCTGT